CCTCTTCAAGACAAACCCTAAACCCTAAACCCCTACATCCTAAACCCTAAACCCTAGACCCCCTTTTCCTGTGGCTTTGGGATGGTTTGTCTACTGAGACTTTAGGGTTTAGGGTTTAGGGTTATCACGGACCCAGTCCTCAATCCTCAGCTCCTCAATACTTAGCCCACTTTAGCATAGGAAGAAAAAAGGATCCGTTTTTAACTTAAATACAAGGAATCCCATATCCCCCAAAAACCCTAAACCCTAAACCGTGTGGATCCCTAACATTGATCCAGAATATTCCAAACTCCCATTTTCTGTTTCTTTTGAGGTGGCCTTGAGGGATTGCCAGGTTTAAGAGCCGATATTTGAGGAGTTGAAGTTTAGGGTTTAGGGTATAGGGTTTGTAGGGCTTGGGGGGAAACCGAAGTGCGTCGATATTCCTATGTAACTCTTTTTTGGGTCGTAAACTATAATCCCTACCAACAATAACAGACCCAAAACAAAACTACATAGGAGCCCTTGGGTAGAGTTGAGGGGTTTAAAGCTTCAGGGCTATAGGGCTTCGGGTGTAGGCTTAGGAATTCAGAAGGTGAGAAGAAGACGGGATTTGGGCACCCTAAACCCTAAACCCCTAAACCCTACCCTTGGGATTATAGGTCAAGTTCGCCGGGGCCAGGACCTAAGAAAACATCGCGTTTGAGGGTCTAGCATTAGGGTTTAGCTGGCTAGGAATGAAGGAATGGAACCTTCGCGTAGTCCTTGTATAACCCATTATAGTAAGTTGCGCTTTCGTGTCCATTCCTTCAGTCCCAGCTAACCAAATCCTTGGCCCAGGTTTCGTTTTCGAACACACCTGGAATCGAATCTCGAAATGAGGACTACAACCCGAAATTCCTAAAACCAGCAATAGTAAAACCCAATTGCCCGCGAAGGAATGTAAACCCTCAGCTATGAATATTTTGTATACACATAGATGTGTAAATACCCGTCCGTCCGTCCGTCTCTGCATGTATGTATGTATGTATGTATGCATGCATGCATGCATGCATGCATGCATGCATGCATGCATGCATGTATGTATGTATGTATGTATGTATGCATTTATCCGTGTGTATGTATGAAGGTGATTATGAAAAATGTATGTATACATGCATGCATGTCTGTATGTCTGGTAAGGTATGTATGTATGTATGTATGTATGTATGTATGTATGTGTGTGTGTGTGCATAAGTGCATAAGTATACTTACCTTCTGTGGAAGCCTGATAGATGTGACGCGCTCAACTGGTTCATTGGGGTTATGAAAGATGGACATGAGTAAACTCTCAGGAAACCTCTAGTACAGTATTTACAACTGGTTGCTGGGAAGAGGCTGAAAGGCCAGTGAGGTCGTAGTCCAGCCAGTACCTTCTCTCAATCTTGCTACTAGGTAAAGCCTGGCAAAGGGGTTTGACTTTCGGGCTCTGAGGCCCTACCCTAGCCCTAAACTTCCAAGCGCGCTACCCTAAACCCTACATCCCCAAGCCCCCTACCCTAAACCCCCAACTGCCCTAAACCCTAAACTTCCAAGCCCACCGAACTCTGTCAAAGAAATCCAAATAGAACCTCAGTCAGAAGCTCGGCAGGCACGCCCTCCTCCTGGATTAGGCTTAAATCCCCAACCCCTACGCCCAAGACCGTAAGCCTTAAACCTTAACTCTGTCTACCTGAACCTCAAAGCTCAGCAAAGGCCCTTAACGCTGAGTTTAAAAAATGAGAAGGTAGATCCTAAATTTCAAGCAGCCTTGAGAAAGGCTGTGCACATCACCATTCCGTACTTCTTGGCTTCAAGAAATAATTCCATGGTTTCGGGAGTAGGGTCCAGGGCTGGTAATATACAAGCGTAATTTTGAACGCTTTTCAAGCCTGTAAAACTAGTCTCTGAGCCTGTGGAAAGCTTCTGCAGGGCTTCCAGACATCTATCCCCTAAACCCTACGTAAATGCCAGCTTATTGGGGCTGAGTAAATCTTCCCCTATGGCCAGGCCCCAAAAAGTTCAAACTTGATTATAGAGACCCAAAAGCCCAAAAAGGTTCTTGGCTAAGTACGGAATAAGTTATTTTTAGGGGATATATGGGGGATATACTCCCGTATTCCCTACTAAGAGCCAGTAAACTAAGCCCTGAGCTGCAGGTAAGGGAAGTCAACAAGTTGGCCTTTGGAATCCTTGTGGGTAATGCATCTGATGTTCACTTAATGGGAAAGAAGGCTTCACAATTCTTCCACGAAAATCTCCCTAGGGTTTAGGGTTTAGGGTTCCCTAAAATTTCCCTAAACCCTAAACCCTAAAATCTAAGCCCGAAGCCCTTCAGGCCGCTACGTTAAGCTGACGCCAAGAAACAACTTGCCAGAAACTGGATCGATCTTCGGATGGGCATTCCACATATCCTGATGTTTTTTTTTTTCCAAGCTTGGGTCGTTTTTGTTGGAGTTTGGGGTTGCGGGTTTAACGTCTAGGGTGGGTGGAGGAAATCTTGAACCAGATAAAATCCCAAGAAGTATTGGACGTACCTTCATTGGCGCTGTAGTGGGTGGTGCAAGATTTCCTCCATGCTCTGAAGGACCAAGTACCTAACTAATTTAGAATTTGGGCCAAACAGGTTCTTGGGAATTAGGTGTATGAAAAGCTTAGGACTCAACTCCTTATTAGACAAGTATAGGGGGCATGTAGGGTATAGAGATTCAGTTGTCTGGCATGTGGCTCACGACAGGTTTATGGATCAGGGTGTAGGGGTTCAGGGCTCAAGTTTAGGGTTTTAGGGTTTAGGGTTCATGGTTTAGGGGTTTGGTGTCCGGGGCTGTTGTGTAATTCGGAGAAGCTTGAGCAGAACAGAAGTAGGACTGAGACTAAGATCCCAAAGTGCAGTAGCCCATATTATGGCATCTGCCATCTGGCTTCTGTGGCACCATTGGACTCGTTTCGCAGCCGCAGCAAAACTGAAGTTTCGTGCTTTTGGATACAGACTCCCTGCTGTCCCCTGATGTGACCTGATAATCCCCTTTTCTACCAATGACCTCTCCCACCGCCAAACAATACATGAGCTATAATCTAAACTCCTAGTAACCCCCCTAAATAAGCCTTATAATACTCCCCTACATAATGCCCCATATAACCCCACTTTAAGGAGTGTAGACTAATCATAGCTCACATAAACACGGGGTGTATGGGATGAACAATTATGAGGCAATCTGGGTCACCCAAGGCCCCCAAGAAGGATCCAATGACTATTACATGGGTGGTTCTCAAAATGATGGTCCCTTTTTGGGTACCCTAAATAGTAGGTGCCGTAGTATTATAGGGATCCATAATTTTGACAACCAGCCACAGGTCTCTCACAGGATCTTTGCCTAGGGGCGGGCTACAAAATCATCTTTTTCAAAAAGTGGCACGAGGTTTACTACCCTAAACCCTAAACCCTAAACCACAAGGTTTACTACGAGATGCCCCAGGAGGCTTCGTAAACCCTAGCCGTGACAAGCAAGACCTGACTCGAACCCCCCTCATACCCCAAAACCCTGAACCAGGCTGTGCCTTGAGCTCTAAGTTTAGGGTTTAGGGTTTAGGGATTTGGAACCCCAGTAGAAATTATAATTTCAGCTAAATATTAGGATTTTAGGTAACAGAAATTAAAAACTACTTTCAGGAACCTTGTAGTTTCTAGATGGAAGGTCATCACATGGCACCGCAACCTAAATCTCACATGAAACTTATATGGGGAGAGCTCAACGCAAATGAGCCCTATGGAAATCTAGCACGAGGGAAACCACCTCAAATGATGTTAGAGGTGGAGTTTTCCTCCTCAACCTTGCCTTGAAGCAGAACCCTGAAAAAACTAAACCCGAAATCCTAACCCATCTGGGACCACCTTTGTCCTGCATGGCTTGACCCCCAAAAAATCCCAAAAACACAAATCCCCAGAATCCAAACCCTGGTCCCCGCCCCAACAATCTGAACCAACCCTGCAGCTCTACATCTCCCCGAAACCTAAAGCCCTAAACCTAATGCAGGGGTCTTAAAAATCACAGCCAGGCCGGGCATCGGAACAAAGAGTTGGAATTAGAGGCCCTATTCTAAAAGGACCCCAAACGTGATAATAAGTATGATAAGCTTGAGCAGAAAAATCTTAGGACAGTCTGTTGCTGCTTGGGAACTTAAACAAGCTTGTCAGATTCTGGGTGTATACATAGATATATACATATATATATACATAGAGAGAGAGAGAGAGAGAGAGAGTGAGAGAGAGAGAGAGTGAGAGAGAGAGAGAGAAAGAGAGAGAGAGGGAGAGAGAAAGTAATGATGTAGTTGTCATATAACCGTAACGAAATCAAACTTATTTAGCAGCTGCCTAGAAATATTCAAACACAAATAAGGCTTCAACATTCAAACCCAAGGACCTAAAGCCTGAACTCCAAACCCTAAACCTTTAGATGGCCCCAGGTGCGTTGTAGAGATACTTCTCGTCTGACTCCGTCTTCCCATCTTGGAGGATGCCTTGCGCACATGGTTAAGATGTTGGGTTTCGGGTTTAGAGCTTAGGCCCCATGTGGGATTCCATGTTAGTTTTGGGCAGACATCCATGGCTAAGTGTAGGCCTTTTTCTTCGTGTCTAGGATCTAGGGATATTGCTCGGCAGAGACAGAGTCCATAGATGCTTCTTGCCAATGGGGTTGTAGTTACATTAAGGCACCTTCTCCGAAATCTCTCACACAGCACAACAATGACCACTCACATTGAGATGAAGTGCATGCTACAGTAGCTTCTACGCCTTGAGCCTCATGCAAGCCCTCATCTCCAACCCTAAACCCTAAACCCGTAACCCTAAACCCTAAACCCTAAACCCTCAATCCTCAACCCTAAACCCTAAAACCCTAAACCCTAAACCCTTAACCCTGACCTTCGCCTAAGAAGTATCCTTTTGACCGTCAGGTTAGCTCTTGGCCTCCCAAGGCTCCTTACTGGCCCGGCCAAAAAGGGGATATATATATATATATATAGAGGGTTTAGGGTTTAGGGGTTTAGGGTTTAGGGTTTAGGGGTTTAGGATTTCTACTGCAGCAAGTGCCATAACTAACAGCTACTATGGGACAATGTCTGTATAGATATGCAACTACGGAGCCCCTTGTCGTAATTCCTCAGGCCTATATGAGCTGTAGTCCAAACTCCTAGTATCTCCCTTAATAACCCCACTACTAATTCCCTTGATCATCCCCTAAGTAACCCCCTGCAAGGAGTGTAGACTATGGCTCACATACCCCCTGAACCCTAAACTCGAAACCCTAAATCCTATATGATCCCCTACGAAGCCCCTTGTTGTAATTCCTAAGCCCTAAACCCTATACCCTAAGCCAAGCGTCGGAGCTCCATTGGGTAATCGGCTTCTGAAAGGGCCATCAGTTTGGAGCTGTGGTAGACAAGATTCGTGTTGCTGGGGCCACTGACCTTACACAGGGTGTTTTAATATAATTTCAATTCCCAATTTAAGGCTGTTCTGGTACCATTCCTTATTGAGCCACCATTTAGGGTGAGGTAGGGTGAGGTCGCTTTAAACTGCCCAGCTTACAAGGAGGGAACCCTAAACCACGTCTCAGGTTTAGGGTTTAGAGTTTGGTTGTAGGAGGGAGAAGTATTCTAAGGTTGAAACCATGGGCCTCTAGTATGGGCCCTTAACTCTGGGATCCTCATATACCTATTATGTACCCTACATGTACCCATAAGGGGCCCTAGAATCCCCCTAAAAGGCTTAAAGGCCCATATCAGGGACCCATACTTCTAACCTTAGAAGTCGAAGTAGTATGGTGACAAGTCCTATGACATGAAATTACGGGACTTGTTTGGGGGGTTTCCGAAACCAGAGGTTCCTTTCTGGACGCCCTCATGATTAGGATTACAGTGTTTTGGGGTCCCTATAGGGGGTGCCCCTCCCTTTGAAAATCACCACAGGTATGTAAGCATATATATATATATATACATATCTCTCTCTCTCTCTCCCTCGGCCCTAAACCCTAAACTCTAACGTATATGGGTGGTTGTCAAAATTATGGTCCCTTTTTGGGTACCCTAAATATTAGGTGCCGTAATATAATAGGGAGCCCAAAAAGGGACCATAATTTTGACAACCACCCATATATTCATCTAGACAGGGAGCCCTCCTTGTACGCGCTGGCCTTAGTCTCAGTGGGTTAGGGGACGGTGTCTGCTGATAGCGAGATAGGAGGAGTTGTGCAAGGGTCCATAGTTTGGGGTTTCGTGGTTGTCCAAGGGTCCATGGAATGGACTAACGATGCCTTCTTGGAGGTGCTCAAGAACTGGAAGATCCTGGAGTAGTTCTTTCGGATGACAACCAGATCGGTAAGGGCACAGAACTCTGACGGGGAAATGCCCACTCTCTTGATAGTGGACAACAGTATTGTGGCGTAAGTCGACGAGTTCTTCAGCCCCATGGCGTACAAGTTCACGTCCGCCAAAAGGTCCATGTTAGTCTCCTCGGTGATCATGCTGAACAACTCCTTCTGGTCGTCAGTGTTGGCGTTCATGATATCTATCAGGCGCAAGGCCTGGCTCTTGTTCAGGTGATGCAACAAGTCCTTGTCCATCTTGAGCCCGCTCTTTCTTTCTCTCTCTCTCTCTCTCTCTCTTCACTGGGAACCGTGAACAACTGATCGCAACCAACGCAGAGTCTGCTTGCTACATTAGCCTAAACCCTAAGCCCTAAACCTTTATCCCTAAACCCTAAACCCTAAGCCCTGAGCCCTAAACCTTAAGCCCTCAACCCTAAACCCTAAACCCTAAGCCCGCAACCCTATTAGGCACATGGCCACATGTCCTAAGAGTAGTAATTCTGGGATTTATGAGCCTCAGTATAATCCTAGGTGGTTTTCCTTGCAGTCTGATAGTTTGCTACCTATGACGCGATGCTTGCTCTCATCAAACTCATCTCCAAGCTCCCGACTGAGCCATCCTTTCTCCCCACGTCATTGAGGGAATTGCGGTATTTCACAACCGTTAACAAAGCCCTAAAACCTAGTTAAACTCCAAACCCAAAAGCCCGTTTTGGTATCGTCCCAACCAAGAGCAGCTAGAACCATGGAGGAGCTTTTTGGATTTCATGGTCGTTTGCGCAGACTTGCTTGCTCCGGTAAGACCGCAGGACCCGCCCTAAATCTGAAGGGTCTAGGGTTTTAGGGTCTAGGGTTTCGGGTTTAAACCTTACGGAATTACTATCCAACAATTGGCGTTGAACACCCAAGGATGTAAGGACATCAAAAGACAAAACAATGCATCGGAAGGAGAGAAACACTGCTAACGTTCAAACCCAATCTGCGAACCCTAAACCCTAAACCGTAATCCTGAACCCTTTCATCCTACGCCCTGAGCCCTAACAGCCTAAACCCTGTCAATTTTAGGATATTTATTTTAGGGGTTTAGGGTTTAGGGTTTAGGGACATCCAAAAACCTAACAATCCTAAGTCCAGAGCCCTACACTCTGGAATCCACACCTGCAAGTGAGCAGTCTTAGGGGTTTAGGGTTTAGGGTCCGTTTTTTGTGGCTGAACCTAGTTAGTTTATGTTTTCTGTTGCAAGCACAATAATTACTCAAAAGGATGATATGATCTTATTCTAGTAGAGCTATAGTCTAAAACTTCTAGTATCCCCCTTAATAGCCCCTACAAAATAGCCCGATATAAGCGCTTATACAGCCCTCTTTTAATAAGTTTAGACGATACTTCCTTTGGGGAACTATCGTATTATTCTCCGATGAGGAAGTAGGCGCTGGCACTTCGGCGCCTCCAATAGGAATAGTCTAGAAGAGCCTATACTACAGATCCCCCAAACTACTACCTAAGCCCTACTTGGAGGGTCAAAAAGGACTTAGCAAGTAGATGAATAATGGGGATAAGTATAGTTACTATATGGGTTATGGGCCATGGGGGTTATTAAACTACTTACTAAGTCCCCCTGACCCTCCAAGTAAACCCTCATCCCAAAGCCCTAAACCCAAAAACCTGGACCCTCCAGTATCCCCAAGGGACGTGGCCACGAAGAAGCCCCACCTTCTCCAGAATCATGGAGCCTTAGCCCGGGGTACCCAGGGTTTAGGGGTTTGTGGCGAGTTGAAGTTTAGGATGCATTGTGGGTTTGGGGCTTAGGATTTAGGGTTTAGCGGCTGGGGCTTGGATGTTTTTGGGTATAGGGTTTGCGTGTTATAGCCCTAGGGTTCCAAGTAGCTCAAAGATTTAGAACCCAAAGGTACTCACTCGTTTGTTGTTCAAGTTTTTTCTGGTTTCCTGCTTATGTTGTTAAAGCTGCGGCTTTGGGGCTTCAAGTTTAGAGGCGGGGGTTTCTGGCTTGCGGTCTAAGCTTCACAATTCAGATTGCACGGATACTCAGAAATTCAGGCTTTCTGGCGCTTTCTGGGGGAGTCTCAACCACAACGATCCGTGTGTCTTGGGGTAGACACTTATAAGACCCTAACTTTAACACGCGAACTCTTCTTGTCAGTACTAGGTGTATATACATATATATACATATATATATATATATAGTGAATATGGTTGTCGTTATATTTACTGCTGTCATTTCCCCTCCTCCTACTACTCCTCCGACTCTCTTTTGTAGTAGTCCCAAGCGCAAACGCTAAACCTAAACGCTAACCTTTTCCCAGTGCTAGTACTAAACATCCTGCTTGATCCTAATGTACTATACAGTACCATAATTCCCAAGTTACAAAGTACTTAGGGTTAAGCAGGACTTTTTAGTATTCACCTTGTGCTAACAGTCCCTAAGGGTCCAAGGACCCAAGGACCCAAATAATAGGGCCCTGGGGCCCAAATACCAAAAACATTATATACTTAGTATTTGGGCCCTAAAACCCTATGATTTGAGTCCTTGGACCCTTAACCCTAAACCCTAAACATCCCCCTAGAACCCCTCTAAAGGGACCCTATTCTTTGGGTCCTTGGACCCTGTGGGATTGCTCATGCCGGGGGAGGAGACAGTCATCCCCGCGGCTGACACAACAAGTGGAAACCAATTGTTTAAGGACTTTTGGGGTTTAGGGTTTAGGGCCTAAATTCTAAGGACTTTTGGGGTTTAGGGTTTAGGGCCCAAATTCTAAGGACTTTTGGAGGGACCCCTAATAGGGACCCTTGTTGCTTATGGGGGTTCATATGGGGACATCGTAGGGATATAGTGTTTTTTAAGGACTACAATGAGATTAAGGGCCCCTATTAGGGGGCCCTCCTAAAGTCCCTAGATATTTACCCTCGAAGCCCAGATTGTGGCATACCACTTGGTACCTCTAAAGGGGTAGTGGAAGATATATGTTAACATGTGTAGATACATTGCTGTACTTGCATAAATAGATGGATAGATAGATAAACCCAAAAAACCCTTAAAACCTTAACCCTAAACCTCTAGACCCCTAAACCTCTAAACCCTAAACCCTCAATACCCTGTGGCCCAGGGGTTCCTGAGCTTCAACGCGGCACGCTGGGAGCCAATGCCCTGGACCTTAAACTTTCACATCTCCACAACCTGAATCCCAAGCCTTTTCAAGGTTTAGGCTTCAGGGTCTAGGGTTTAGGGCTTGGGGTTTAGGGTTTAGGGCTTGGGGTTTAGGGCTTAGTGTAAGCAGCGCAGTCTACACGAAAGTCAGCAATATCAATTCTAAAGCCCTCATCTTGCCCCACCCTACATAGACCCAAGAAAGGTAATTACAGTACTTTAGGGATCCTGAATAGTGCAATGATGAAACCTAAGATGCTGAGCCGGTGGCTTAGGAACCCAGACATGGAAGACGAGTGCGCAATCTTGTCCCAATGTGGTCCTCCGACTTGAGGCTTCAGGTTTAAGGTTCAAGCCCAAGAGACCTTTAGCTTTTGGACTTTTTATACATGGTCCTCATAACCCATGGCGAGAAGCTTAGGGGGGAGTGCGGGTGAGAATATTTGGTGATCATATAGGGATGGAAATCGTGCTCCCCGCCACTCCCCCGTACTTGCTAGTAAGTTCAGGGGTGGTGCAGGATGGATGTGCTAGTTTCAGAAGTAGGGTGTTCCCCCCGCGCGCGCGACAGTACCCAAAGCCCGTTTACCTCCCCTGCCGCTGAAAGGTGGCTCAGCAGCAGACACAACCCCGTGCCAGCAACCCCTAAGCCCCCACAAACAGGTGGGGTTCAGTTTTCAGGGGTCCATATCAAAGTGCGTTGGGGGCACAAGCATCCCAGTTGAGTTTTCCAAGTGTCTTAGATGACACAAACGCCCCAAGCGTCCCGTGTGACCTGAGTGCCCCAATTGTCCCCCAGTTTTGCGACGGCTTCGCCCTGTCATTCTCTCACTGTCATACTCTGATTGACGGTACAGTGAAAACTCTAATTGGGGATTTCCCAAAATTAGGGGTACCCTCTTGGGGGTCCCCATAATAAGGACAATAATAT